ATATAATATAATATATTATATAAAAATATATGTTTCACAAGAATTTTTCATATTATTTCTAGTTATATTGCGCGAATAACTAAAATGAGTTTTATGTTTATTGCTTTTAGTTATTTTTATATATGACAAAAAAGAATATTTTGCTACGGTTTTTATTTGATATAATAAGTGGGAATATAGATTGCGTCAATGCAGCTGTCACAATTGTTAGCCATAACAGTTGGACTACTGTCCGTATATAATGAACAGTAATCACTGTCCGTTTATAACGGTTAGTAACTACTGTCCGACATGGCGATCCGCAACTACTGATACGTCCGTAGAACACAAACAGTAACTACTGCGCGTAACTACTACACTACAATCTGTATGCTTATTATTACATTAATGACTCGTGTCTTATTTCTGCATACGTGGATTATATTATACAAAGATTCGTTCTATAAATAAGGAAGTATATCTCATGCGTAATCGAAATAAATCGCGACATTTAACAAGATTTAGCAAATTTATATCCTGTAAAAATATATGAATTTAAAAAACGGTAAATGATAAAATAAAGCACATAAATTGTTATAATTTTTTTTTTCTTTTAGATTGTCTTAACACCAAATAATGTTTCAGTATACAAAAATTTGAGTGCAAAATCATGTTATGATCAGAATGCACATATATAATATAGAAAGGCAAACTTTGCTTTTTTTCTGCGTATTTTGCATATCTATAAATAAAATTTCTTATATTTTTATAGAAATGTAGTTACGTATATAAATACTGTTTTTATGAAAACATAAATTATGGACTCCCTCTTTTAATCTCATATAAAACCAGCTTTTATTGTAATATCCCATTTACAATTCTAATGACTTTAAAAGCAGAAAATTTATATTACTGCATATACATTTTTGTCCTTTTCACATGGAATTTCATTCCTTTCTGAAAAAATTGTTATATCTATATATTTTGTGCTTTTCAACATAGGTTTCACATTTTGTTAGAATGACTTCCCTATGCAAAATCCATAACAAACATCTGTATATTTTTAAGTATCTTTGCATCAATTATTTCATTGCCGTAAAATTCGCATCTCCGCTGATAGGGCCATTTTAATGCATGACATCGGCTTAAAAGCTTAAACAATGAATACTCCCATTAGCTCGGCTCCCTCATCACTATAGTTATTACGAACATCTCGTGCGCGAGAGATAGAGAGAGATGCGTATTACCTATACGAAATTAGGCGTTATAAAGTTCATGACGTCAATGATTCACTCGATATCAACAATCATTAACACGCACCGGATGCTCATAACTTATAACTGATAAAAACTTGCCACGGTCAGCAGCTGCGACATATGTACAACACAAACACATACATATATACATACATACACGCGTACATATGACGGTCAAGTAACTACAGCACGTCAATAACGCTCGGTAACTATCGTACGTATTTCTACCTCACTTGGACTACCTGAAAGCCACCAAGAAGCGCCGTCAGTCAGAATAATCCGACGACTGTGCCGCGAGATGATTGTAGGGCTCGTGATCGGAATTGATCGTGAACTCCAAAGACGTTCAGATCCCCCTTGATAACCACACATTTTTTACCCCTTTGTCACGCTACCATTTCTTGCGATAAAGAGAAATATACGTGTTGAATAAAAAATATCGCGATACATAAAACATTTGTTATTTATAAAAAAGTGTTTGCATTAGAAGCGTTGCGATATTATCTAAATCGACTTTATAAATATTATAATATATGTGTATTTTAATAGTATTCGTGAATACATGATAGTAATATATAAAATTAAAACTCAAAAATCATTTTCCGAATATTATTCTATGCGTTACTGTTCCCGCTTCTGTTCGACATTCTTTCGTGTTCGCGCAACATAAACCTGTGATATCTGTTCGTAGAAGGATATATACATATTGTGTGTAGAGAAATTTTCCGCGAAGTTGATCAGAAGACATATTTCCGTAAGAAAATATTATACTATAACTTGGCCAGTATCCATTTTCGCATTTCGTCGAACGGAAGTTCACAGTCTGTAAACCTGAACTAGTTTGCTGAACATCGCAATAGTTAATTTTAATACATATTTTAATATGTCAGACTAAAAAGATTTAAAGTGACTTACTTTCAATCTGATTTAAACTAAGAAAACTATATCAAACGCAACCGAGAGATATAAATAAAAAGAATTGTATCAAAATCGACAACTGTAAACATTAAAAAGTTTTCTGGCAAACTTGTTTCTATCGGATTGAATTGTCTCTGTCCATTTAATATGTAGACAATGTCTGCAAACATAGAGTGTTTTGCAAACAGTAGAACGAAATATTCGTAATGTATTCGTATGTATATATACTAGAAGAAATACCGAGGAATTTGCATAAGAAATAAAGAGAAAAATTTTTCTGGAAAAATTCACAGTGCAAAATGTAGAAAAATAGAGAGGACAGACCACACATACAACACAGAAAACCAAATGTGATTAACTTTTTTATTTTGATGACATCTCTCGATTTCTGCGCGCTTTTATTTTTTATCATTGGTATTATTATTTTTTATTGTTATAAATTAATTATTATATTTAATCAATATTTTAAGTAATTATTAAAGAACCATATTTATAAAGCATGAACATGTCTTTTATTCCAAATTAAATGTAATCACTTAATTCTGAAATTTATATATTTCACGATGAAAGTATTTTATCTGATTGAAATTTAGGTATTTAATGCTAAAATTATGATATAAATGCGAATCTGTACATATATCTGCAATAATCACATATTATTTATATCTCTTTTTTATAAAATATCAAAAAAATGTTGTATATAATTTATGTATTAAATATCGTTTAATTAGCTTTTAATATTTATGTCAGAGTTATTTGTTTATAACATCTAAATGCAAATAATCGATTTATTTTACCGCACTAATTCGCGTTATTTATGTATTGTACGCTATTAAACCATCTTTTATCTTAACGAGAAAATATTTTATGTATCATCTGAATGGCCGATATCATTAACCTGTAATTTTATTGGAACTATATTTTACCAAATAGTGCAATATAGAAAGCGTCCATTAATGTATCATAGTATTGTTGCAAACTTTATCGTATATTCTAATTGTCCTGTTTAAAAAGGTTTAAAATAATCTCTTCGCGCAAGAAAACGCACGATAGACATAGCAAAATATTACAGAAAAACCTACATTTAATCCGAAGTAGAACGTTAAACTCGAGAAATATAAATATTAAAAGTACCTGAGAAAGAAGTTCATACGTATGTACTATTTCCCAACTAGAAGCAGTAAAGGACTCTCCGAAATCTCGAGAAAATTAGACGACAATGGGAGAAAAAATTGTTATTCTTTATATCTATTTTATCATTTTTTTTTAATAAACAGATTCATCGAGAAATAAGAGATGTTTCTATTATACGGAATAATGAATGGGAATAGGCATAACAATCGATATTCGTTTCCGCGTTTTCTCGAACAATCTACGATGCCTAAAAACGGTCAGTATATGCTATCGTAAGAAGAGCTAGGATTATCCGGTGAACGCGCGATCTTCTTCGAATGACGGTACCACTCGTAGATAGAATTGACCAGCAAAATCGGAAAGGAAGAAGTCTACTCGCGACGATAGGATCTCTCCATCCGTATATGCCTTTATATTCCCCGTAAAGTTCTAAGCACCTGCTAAAGCGAGATTGAGGAGTTTTTTCTCGCGGAAAATTGAATTCCATCGATCGCGCATATGGCGCGCCATCGTCCGGTTCCACGACGACATCGCTTTAATCGAAACGCTTCAATCTCGTGTGTAATCATGATTCTGTTAATGTAATTATTATAGATTTTATGATGACAAATCTGCTTACTTTTAGATATGAAATATTTCTGCTTTGCTTCTTCCATAGAAACGATTATTAACTAATATTTGAACAAAAGTAATGGAAAATATTCCTACTTACTCCTGATTAAAATAACGTCAATATTTAATGATTTAATAAAAATGTAGTGTAATAATAATGACTAAATGGAATTTTTCTGTTAAGAATTATTTTCTAAATTTTTATATTATTTTTATTGTTTTTTATATATGCCTAGCAATCTAATTTGATTACGATTTGTTTGTATTTAACATTTTTTCTTATATCAGATTATTTAATAATAAGGAAATTTATTATTGATACAGTATCAATGCATGATTAAATAAATTAAGTATAAGCGCATTTGTCGTCATGCCACAATGTGAAAATATGTTCACTATACTGCAAGTCGAACGTAAAATATCGTTGCCGCCACATACACTATTTCGCATGGTTTATTCGGTCAGATTGTCCCGAGAATTTATTCATTCGCAGGGCCAACCATATTTCATCAAGAATAAGAGTACTCGACTTCCTTATCTTTATCGAAATATTCTATACCAAACATACAAGTAGTAATTTATTTATACATGTCTCTCTCTATATCTTGTAATTACAATTTTCTTTTAAGAGTACAAAGAGCACATGTTGAAAGAGACGATAAATTGAGACATATTATTCTATTCACTTTTAACGAGGCTATTGTTTTACCTAACAATTTCAGCTTTAAAAATATTATTTCACATTTTCTAACTGGAAAGTATTTTTTTGTTTGATATTAAAACAAAGTAGTAGCATTTTTATTTCGCAAAATATACTTCCAAATGTATGTATGTTTTCTTTTTCAAAGTATATTTCTATCGATTATATATAATATTGTAAATAAACTGCATATAGGAAATATAGTTGAGATACGACCAGAAATTCGTAAACTTGAGAATGCTCTAACGAGAAAATTAATTTATCACTTACGGACTTTAAGCTCCATCTCAGGTACAAGAAATCATTCCTACTGCAGATGCTAGTAAAACCCAAACGGATAGTCACTGTTGTAAGTTGAGTGAGATGGATTCAGGAATCGCTTAGTTAATGATTGCGAAATTGTCGGAAGACGCCTGTGAGATATATTAATGTAAATGACAGAAATTGTTATTGTCGACATGACATGGCCCTGTCGCTTCACGTGACATGATGGCGAATAGTGTTATTGTTGTCCGTTGCCCTATTCAATTCGAGAAGCGTTAGATATCGGTCACTAACTTGCTTAGATTACTAATTGGGCTTGGCTCTTTTGGGCCGATGCCAACCTATTGTGTAGTTATACTTTAGTAACATTGAATCGATAGAAACATGTGTGGAATACATCATACAATATTTAATGCAAATATCTCTATATAATATAAAAGTTAAATGTCTGATTTTTTAATAGGAACATATAGTATCTTAATTTTTGCATTTAAATTTTTCTGTAGTATGACCGATATATACTTTTATAAAATGTGTCATTGTAAAATAACCTACATTTCTATTTTCAATATAGCGATGTATAATGAGACAAACTTAAGTTTAAATTATTGATAGTCATTCTGATAATTATTCCGATTCAATAATATGCAAATTGCTAAGAAAAATCTATCGAAGAAACGTCATTACGCTCGATAAATTAAATGGCTCCTTTTGAGTGAAGCTGCGCGTACTTTTTTCTATCGCTACCGAAACGAAAGAAAGGTATTCGAGTTATTTAACGAAAGTCCAAGATTCCGTAATAAACTTCAGCACAGCGAGCGTCTTATCGTCGAAAATGAATCTCTTGTCCTGGTTTTATAAACAACTTAAGATGCAAGTTTTCCAATCATTTCGTGCAGCAGTTAATAGACTATACCGAGTTTTGATGAAGTCTAAATAAAATTTTCCGTTAAACACCAAATATCTTAAGCATACTGAAATTATATATATATATATATACATAAATGTGTTACTTGAAAATTTAATTTAGATTACATGAGATTTTGTTATCTATTGCTGAACTAAATTATGCTATAAAACTTTTGATGTTTTAATAAAATTCTCGTATGTTTTTCAGATTTTTTTTTTTTATTTTAAGCTTTAGTACATTTTTATATATGTCATGTATTATTACAACAGAAAAACATCGCTAAAATTTATTTATGTAAAGTATGCATATGTACTAAAAACTTATAATTATTTTCACAAAAATATTGATATTATATGTTTTATGTTAACATCCATTATTTACAAATATAAAGAGAAATTGTAAACCTCGTAGTCAAAATAAAACGTATCAGTTTGCAACATGGGTATACAAAATATAACGAATTATATTAATATATAACATTCCTGTAAAATTTTCACTATTTATTTTGCTTTCACGATTCGTAAACTAAATAAAATATGCAAATGTCTGGATGATAGTCAATAGAGTTTCAAAACGACCATAATAAACTGCGAAATCCGGAAAAAGGAAGGCTTTTTTCTGATGATAAGATCTTGTATATTCCCCCTGGTTTTTCTTATCCGCCTTATTTTCTGAACTGCCCCTTTTCAATTTTTCTTCATTCTAACATGACCAGCGTCACGAAGCGACGCTAAAATTGGCATTGCCTGAACGATTTCGCGCAATTTCCGAGATGAGGCATTGAATGTTTACTCACTGTCTGCGGATATTTTCTTCGCGGAGTCTTTTATGGAGGAAGCTGAGAGAGGACGATGGTGCGCCGTTTAAAAGCCGGCGAGAAGAATTGCAGAAAAGAGAACGATTGCACAGCTCGCGAACAGAATTGGCCGTATTGCCGGGAAAACAGAGTAGATGGGGTAGATGCAGACGGGGGACGGGGGATGAGTCGGATAAATAGAGACCGAGAGAATGGCCGTTGGCCATTCTTGCGTGCTTTCTGAACTCGATCGTTGAGACTGTGGCAACGCTTCCGGAGGAGAACGCAGACGCGCTGATTGGGATCGACGCCGTGCCATCGGCACGCAGGTAATAGTGCGTATAGTGCATTGCGCGTAATAGGGGATTCATTAAGCGGCAAATTCGATTTTCAGCTAATTATGGATGAGAGCGGGGTATTTCGGCGAGGCTCAATAATGGGAGAAAGGAGAGGAGGGGAAGAAACTAACGTAGCTAGCGCGTTGTAACGGAAATTTAAAGCAGCTTACAGCAAATCCGGCAACGACAACGCCATGAATCGATGATGTCGTAAGTAATCGAGACGCGCTTAACGCGTCAAACGTGAAGCACATTTCGTGGGAAGCGTATCAAATGCGCGAGCGTGCGCGCTTTACGGCATATTCGCGAAAAAAGTATTACATAGCCACCGGCTGCAATTTTATTCGCGCTTGAAAGAATTATTGATAGCGCCTTCAGAGCTTATTATATCGTGCTTTCAATCTCTCTCTATCCTACTTTAAAGAATTTTATAGAATATTTTACGAAAACAGATTTTTTTTGCATATAAAAGTAAGACGCTAATAATCGTATTGATTCAAGAATGCTTCGGATAATTTAGTTAAATAAAGAAGAAAAAAATCTTCTTATCTTTATAGGAAAACGTAATTACGACATAATTATATATAGAATACACTATTGTTATAATAATAAAAAATAATTTTTTTTTAATTCTTGGAACAAGAAGAATAAATAAGTATAATTACAAATTAGCATTTTACGAATATCTTGATTAAAAACAAAAAAATTATTTAAATAAACAAATCAAAACTCAATCTACGATAAAGTCCATCCGCATTTCTTAATGAAAATTCAGTTAATTGACGCATTATGAATAATCAGGATAATTGATATTCTGCTAAAAGGAGTAAAGCGTCCTATTCTACAAATAGGATTTCTCAGAGGGGCTTTTTAAATTTCATTCTTTTCCTCGAACAAATCGCGTGTGTATGTTGACCATTGTGTTATCAAAATCCTATTTTTTTTATGTTAGCTTTAAAAATATTCGGACTTTCTGCAAATAATTAAAATCCCCTTCGTTTTAGCATTATTATAAAGTTGATTAAAAGCACATTCTCTCATTCCGTAAATATTTTGTTTATAAGTAACGCTTGGCACGTTAATGTGTCTTGGACAGCAGGATAATACGCTGCGCGCAGAAGGATTCCGGTCGGTACGAGCTTCTACGGATCATTAAGCTGCTTTAGCGAAGTGATAAATACTCCATGCACTTTACAGCTTCCAGATACAATCTCTCTTTCCC